AAAGGGCTATGGGCCAGTGACAACCTGGGACCTGCTGGTCTGCTGCCTCCGGCAGAAAGAAGACTGGCCTGGATGTCACGAACATCAGCCTGTGGTGGGCAGTGGTAGTCTTAATCATGCCCAGTTCAAGAAAACTCTTAATAGTGATTTCACACACCTACACATTTACAGAGCAAGCACATTCCCGAAAGATAAGCTGTCTTACTGAAGTCTTCCTTAAATGCTCTTTTCTGTGACAGCGTCATTTATGGACCTCCCATTCCCTACCCCCACTACCCCGAGCAACAATGACACAAAAATCTTCAGATCGATGACCATTCCCATCTCAATGGACACCACCAACAGCAACAGCAACTCCTGCAACAAAGCCATGTGACTCTGGTAGAAAAGGTAGCACTGCTTTTGATGGCAACACATCTGAGATGTTACAAGCTTTTATTGTTATTGGTATTATTATTATTTTCCTTGGTAATGTCCAATGAGCTATGGCTGATATTCTGCATGATACATAGCATCAGGGATTGCAAAGAGAAGAGAGAGAGGAGTGCAGAAAGGGTGAGAGGAGGCACAATTCATGATGAGCATTGACTCCTCTTTATTTTTACATAAAACAAGATTTCCTTCTATGGCATTTTATGTAAATTTCTGGCTAAGTATTCAGTCTACACTGCCCAGCTACAAGCCCATGCAAATAGGGTTTATGATGTCACACGGACATGGACACGTCTGTGCCAGGAATATAAGTGATGTAAAATCAAGGAGGAATTTCCTACATACATGGCTTCCTAGATGCATGCTGGTGACCATATTTTCAAGTTTCCTGATACCTTAACTAGAATATTCCACAATGAGCCAGATACCTTCTGTCCAAATATGGGCCTTGGTAGGAACACTTGTATATTTTAATGTTATGCATAGAACATTTCTATATTGTAAACTATTATGATCGAGTAATTTTCACCAATCACTGGCAAGCTTGCTTATTTGCCCAAATCCCCAGAGAGAACAGAATCTGTAGAACATTTGGAATACAGAAAGAATCCAGGAAGAAAAGGTATGAGGTACAATGGCAGCGCCTCCCACAACCGATCAGAATTCTGTACTCATGTCCATCCTTATGGATCTCCACGTTCTAGACTGTCTTGATTGTTCTCCGGAAGAGTTAGTGAGCCTGAATTACTTGCTTGCACTTACTCCATAAAGGGCCATAGGCTTCTTTAGGAAAGCTCGGATCTACTAAGATTAAGCCACCTCCTCAACTGCTTATTGGCTCCTACAAAAACATCTCAGGCGGGGAGAGAGAGAGAGACAGAGAGACAAAGAGAGAGTGAGAGACAGAGAAAGGGAATTTACATGACCACTACATGTCCATCTACCATTTTTCCCAGGTTCTGCTGACTTAATCCTGAATTAATGAGCCTGTCACATGATATCTAATAAAAATGACTGCACTAGAGATCCTGCTTGGAATCTGCCACATATTTGGTCCAAGGCCGAATCGATTTCATCTATATTTAACACATGCTTGTTTTCTGTCTCACTTGTCTCCCCCACAGCCCATGGCTCGACTTTTTTTTTTTTTTTCCCCATCTGGAAAACTTATCTCCTAAAATGCTACCATCAATCAGCCAAAGACACTCTTCCCGACAGAGCGTCTGCCAGTCTGACTAAGCACAAGTAGTCTCTAGTTTGGGGATGCCTCCCACACTCTCTAGCGCCGTGTGTTTTTCTAGCCTGCCTAACCACACGAGTGCAATTTGGGATATTTATACTTACCTCTAGTTTCTATCTGGATAACAGCGTTACTTTGACCGAACGGGGCATAGGGCATGGTGGAGGGGGTGGGGGAGGATATGGGATGGCACGGAAGTTGCCTGTGCTGCTTATCTACCTACTTTTACATTTCTTTCTTTGGATTTTTGCATTTCCACCCATTTTGGTCTACACTGGCTCAGTGCCTGCTCAAATAGTAGAAAAATCAAATGCTTACAAAAATGCATGAATTCGGTCCCCAAAAACCTTCCCCGGACACCAGTGCTGTTCCCATTTCCAAGCCTTTCCTTGTCCACACCAACTCCCCATACATACAAGCCTCTAAGTTTAAATACAGCACAAAAGAAGGGTCAGAAAAGAAAGCAAAAGTAAGGTTGGCAGCAGAAGCCAAGCACCGGGAAAAGGGAAGGAAAAAGGGGGAGCAGGAGACAGGCGGCCCCCTCCCTCTCCCACAAAGTTCCAGTCGTGAACACACACCCACCGGCCACAGCAAAAAGCACTGTGCTTGGGCACAGGTGGGTCCCAGCCTCCCTGCCTGGATGCAGCTTAAGCACTGAGCCTGAATGAAGACTTTCATTGCTGTTTGCTGTTTTTGTTGGCCAGTAGCCATGGCAAACATTTGCAGGTGGCTTGGCCAGATTTTGACACTTAAATATTTGAGGTTGTGATAAAAATCAGAATATTACTACAATATGGTTCTGTGCAGTCTCAAAAAAAAAAAAAAAAAAAACTATCTGCAATTTCCAATGCTCATTTAAAGACACAGTCTCCAGAGGGAACTCATGTTTTAAAATAAGTACTCATTTCCTCTTTGCTGGGAGAAATAAAAGAGTCAACCATCCCCAAATGTTACCACCTAGAGTTTCATTCTGAATCCACTGGTGAGATGGGTTGGGTTGTTCCTTGCTGAGCCCCCATGGCCATCCGGGCAAGGTTTTGCATGGGTCACATGGGGAAAATGGAAATGACAGGATGTGTGGGTTGGAATCAACATGGTAAGCACGACAGGGAAGGATCTGAAGAAAAGAAACAGCCTCCCTCAAGCTTGGCAATGACACACAGTCCCAAAAGTGACAATTATCTCCTAGAACACACCAGGAGAGACACACAGCACCCCAGGATTGGGAGTAAATGAGAAGATGGAGTGGGTTGGGAGGTCCCATGTACCAGAGAAACACTCCCACCCATCCAGGCACAGTGACATAGCCTGGAAATGTCACCCAACGATACAGCCCTGGGCCAGCTGGGTAAATTGTTGACAGAGTCAACACCCATCTCAGAATTGAGTGCTAACCCTTAAAAGATTGTTTCACAAAACCCAGCCTTGTACTAACAATGGCTGAATACTAAGGGCCTCCAAGAGGGTAGTTGGGTTGGGGGTTGAGGGGGAGGCAGGAGAACTCCAGGGGGGAAGGAATGTTATAAAATTGCTAGTAAACTCCAACACATTTTATGTTTTTTCCCCTTGAAAGAAAAATAAAATAATTATAATTAGCTGGCCTAACTGTGAATTGTCTGCCTAAAGCCAAGCCACTAGAGCAAAGGAGTCCAGTGAGATTTAGATGCTGTCTTTAAAGAACCCACCCCACCCTCTTAGTATATTAAAGGTTTTTGCTTTAGATGGTGGCAATATTTGCTCCCATAGTCATTTGAAAAGAAAAGAAATATTTCACAGGGATACTAGCTCATTTAGTATTGGCTTCTTCCAACAAAGCTAAGCATTCGAATGGCCAGAGTAATATTCTGTTTCTTAAAAGGAAATCAAATGTACCTATGACAGACTCACAAAACAGTCATTGCCCAGAGCACTCATTTGTTAAGATGGGTCTTCACAAATCACAGCCCATCTGGGAAGCTGAGAAACGTTGAGAGACAAAGTACCCCCTCTTCTAGGGCATTCTAAGAAGGAAGAAGCCAATGTCGTTCCTGGTGCTCGCTCTTGATCTCAAATTCTACAGGCATTAATAAAGGAGGGGAGGGGATAGCAGCTGCCTGTCTCATTGATAAAGCATGTGACTACTGAGTTTGGGGTTGTGAGTTCAAGCCCCATGTTGGGTGTAGAGATTACTTAAAAATAAAATCTTTAAAAAACAAAAACAAAAACAAAGGGGGAAAGACACACTGGCAAATTGTGGGTCAGCTTTTAATGCTCTTTTTTTTAATCACCATATCCAATATTCAACTGAATATTCACACTAAATTCTGATGCACATACCAAACACCACAAGTTCGCTTTCCTATTTTAAAGAGAGAATTCTGGGAACGTACCGCAAGCCGTTCTCAGCTTCCAGCAATATAAATTTATCAGAGCTCTTTGGCTTAAGTTACTACCTTTTCTTCCTGAGAACTCGACTGCTCTTAAATCTTTTATTTCCTCTTCACTCTGCTCTTGTGAGGGTGGAAAGAAGACACACCACCATCATCCTGAAGATAAGGAAGCAGGCCAGAGATTCTGCATTTCTGAGAAGCTCACCACTCATGCCCAGGCTGCAGGTCCTCAGACCACACTCTAAATAGCCAGGGGCTAGAGCTGTCACCTGAGACTTAGAAGTGAAAATTCTTTCCATCCCATAATACAGAGTATCTGGGATTCTGACAGGACCTTTCTGCCAATTTTGCTCAATACCGTACTATTGTCTTTTTTACATAAATGAGGGGGAAAGGGCTTGCTTTTTGTTTTGTTTTGTTTTGTTTTGTCTATTCCAGGAATGAGCCTGGGCCAATACAGAGGAAGGGGAGAGCTAATAAAGAGGTATTAACAAGGAGAAGAAGCAAGGAAGAATCATCAAAGGAAGGAAGACTGGAAATACATGAAAGGCCCAGGGGATGTGCTCAGCAGATCTTAGGAACCAAGGGACACACTCTTGGGGAGGGAAGTAAACTCGTGAAACTTCCCTCTACCATCCTTAAGCATTTGGCCTGAAAACTATGTTCTCCTCTCCATAACATCCAAGGTGCTTTCCACAGTCACAAATCTTGTCTGAAGAAATGATGGCACAGAATGACTTGCTTTGGCCCCTAAAGTCCAGGACAAAACAGTCTCCACCCCATAGGGACTCCCCTCTCTTCTCCCATTAAAACATCATTCTACATGTCAGGTGATCTCACACCAACCAGGAACACCAACTTCTGTCTCATCCAGTCTGAGCACCAGAAACAAGGAGAAACTCCAAAACATTCTCTGAGCTCCAACCAGGCCCCAGAGATAGCCGAGGAAGTCTCCTTACCCGATCTGGCGGTTGGTGGAAGGTGCCTGTGTGATGACAGAGCTGGACTGGGGTGACGGCATGGCTTGCTGAATCACAACGCTGGTGTCATGGTTGGGCATCCGGGTGCTGCCAAGCTGGTGAGCTCCGGGCCCCGCCATGGCCCCACCAACTGTGTTATGCATCGAGATATTCTGCCCAGAGAAGACAGAGGGGAAGGTCAGAAGAAGTCAATGTCTTATTGTGCTCTTAAGCTCTCAGAAGACGAAATTGAGAATCTGGTCATGTCAACTAAGTAAAGAGTTACGGCTTCTGGCAAGACATGGATCCATCCGTCTTGTTATAACTTACAACTATGAGCAGATGAAAAATAACTACCTACCCTAACAGTCAAGCATATAAGAAAATACCTTAAAGTTCACTAATCACTCTGTCGCCATCCTGATGTGAGGTTTATATCAGAGACATTTGGTGCATATCTTCCCTGACTTGGTGTGATATATACTGCATTTGAAAATGATTTCCATTGTAAGTGCACAATACTATGATTTACTGCAGAACTGCTCAGCAACCTGCTTTGAATGACACTCACACTGGGTTATTGTTTCTTTTGCAGTCCTAGGAGAGTGACCAATCAGCTATTTTTTCCCCCTAGGAAACTACTACTTTTCCAAATCATAATCTGGGTCCTCATGACCCAGCCTCAGCTACCTGGAGAGTGAGGATGGATAACGAGAACAGATGACTGGGTGTCTGGAATCCAATGCCAAGAGCAAAAGTTGCAAACTTTCTACTGCATTTCCATAAAATCAATCTCTAATGATTTTAATGGAATAATGGAATACAGAACAATGACTGCTTGTTCATTCACTCGTTCACTGTCTTCCTCTAGAACGCAGAATATTTGTGTTCATAGCTCTCTCTCATGGTGCTAGGAACACAGTAGGCACTCAGCAAACACACGTCGCACGAATAAACTAGTGGAGGCATAAATGAGACATCTGAGTCACTTAAGGGAACTAACATCATGTGCTTATTTCTGATGACATGAATGAAGGTTTCTTTGTTTAAAATGTAAAAGTAAGGTAAAACATGCAAGGTCAAGCTGTCTTAAAAGACAGCTCTTCCTATTAAAAAAAAAAAAAGAAGTCACTGGGACAAAAGAAGAGGATTCACATGGGGGTAGAGGAAGTCTCATCAACATGGCAGAGCTAACAGGTAAGAAATTCAGAGCCTAAAAAAGAAAGGGAAAGTATAGGGTAAAGCCAAGTAAGTGGGCCTCTGTAAACAGCTAAGCACAGCTCTTCAGCTTAGAAGGGTAGTGAAATTTGAGAGGTCAGTTGGACAATGGGCTGAGGATGGCAGGAAAGAAATGGAGTGTCACTAGCAATTTACTAGAGGGAAAATATATATCTGTCTGCGCTTTGGGGTTAGCAAAGAAAAAAATAAATGTTACCCAGGAGAACCAGAAGTGGTTCTTTGAAGTTCTTCTGCAAAGAACAGGATTTCCTGCACTATGTGTTAAATGATGGTGATAACATATATGGTATTTGGGGTGGCTGTGTCCATCACATTGCACCTTTCCCAGATTTCTGATTTCTAAATCCTGACCACACAGTTTGTCAGAAGTCCAGATGGAAACTGGGCACCTGGCTTAGACTGTGAGCTGACTGTGTTATCGTGGGATCCCAGAGGCATGAACAGGCTTAAATACACACACGTGGTCCAAAGGCTCCTCTTATACACTGGAAGGTTTTTCTGACGTGGGAAAATATTGGGGTTGGTCAAAGCAAGATGAAAGAAAATGGTGATTTGTGTTGGAGTGGCAGTGCAGGGATACGCTTAAGTTCTTTTTATAGGGTCTAGAGACTTGAACTAAAATAATAATGAAAATAAAGATAATTGTGTTACTTCTTTTGAAAGTGAGCCTTAACGTATTTCCCTGGGTCCTAATGAGGCCTTGATGAAGTCAACAGTTACAAATATTTATTTTTTCTCTGTTGTTTGGATCCTCGGAGATACTCAACAATTTTCCATCTTGCTCACAGTCATCTACTTTGCCAGTAATAAATCTCAGGCACAGAAGGACTTCAGACTTTCCTTTTAGAATTGTTTCTCTTGGGGCACCTGGGTGGCTCAGTGGGTTAGGCCTCTGCCTTCAGCTCAGGTCATGATCCCAGGGTCCTGGGATCGAGCCCTGAGTTGGGCTGTCTGCTCAGCAGGGAGCCTGCTTCCTCCTCTCTCTGCCTGCCTCTCTGCCTACTTGTGATCTCGGTCTGTCAAATAAATAAATTTAAAAAAAAAACCTCTAGAATTATTTCTCTTGTGCTGTGCTATCAAGGATTATGTATGAATAGTATAATCTGAAACTTAAAATAATAATCTTTAAATTGTTTTTTAAAAAAAGGATATAAAATGTATGAACTCTCCTTGAGTTACCCTTGATACCTCTTTTCCATCACTCCCATAGGCAGACCCCAACTACTGCAAATTCAACCTACACACCCTTCATCTCTTTCTATCTTTCTATCTTTCATTCTCTTTCCATTTTATGTTCTACCAACCTACACCCAACCAGCATCTCCTTTCCTGGACTAGACAGTGGTCTCCTAACTGGTCTGTCACTCACTATGGCTTCCCTTTCTCCTTTTGCCATGGTGATCTTTTTGAAAGACAAAACTAATCACATCATACAATTCTCCATACTCAACCACACTCCTCCACCCCCACCCTACAAGCTTCTTAGATGACTTTCATGGTTCAGAAGACATTGAGAGCATTCTTTGTGTGACCTACAAGGCCTATAAGGGACCATTCCTACCTCCCAGCTCATCTTACACTATTCTCACTCTTGCTCTCTGCTCTTCACTCCAACTTTCTACCATGTTCTTGCCCTCATACTGCTCACCTCCATTTCAGCACAGGGGCTTGAGGTATGCTATTTTCTGCTACCTGTGCCCTCCCCTGACTCGACCCTCAAATCTCAGATTAAGCATCACATGAGGAAGACTTGCTTGACCTCTATACTGATGGGTACCCTCTCCTTTGCAGTACTTTTTATAAGTTCACAACTGTTTTGGTTTGATTAACATGTTTCTTCCTAGAGAACATAAGCACAATCTGAGAAGAGACTAAATCTGATTTTACTCCTCATTGCCTCTGTTGCCTAGATCAGTGCCTGGCATATAATAAGTGCTGAATAAATACTGAGTGAGTAAATAAACTATAAAATGACATTCCTAAAATATTCAGTATGAGGAGGTCTTTTATTCTCTGGTCAACTTTTGAGAGTGCTAACCTTTGTCTATTTACCTTGAGATCTCAAAGTAGGCTCATGGTAAAAGTGTTTTGGATATTAAGGTGCTTGTTTGATTATGGGCTAGAGAAATAGAAGGAACCAGAGTTAAGAAGAAACCCACAAACCTGGGATGTAGACTGGAAGTAAAACCTTTGAGAAAATATTAAATGAGCCCTTGGAGGGAGATGCCAAGAAGTGAGCTCTGAATCTTTGAGCACTTTGACACAAAGGTTGGCAACAACTATTTCTTATCTCCAGCATGAACACCAGGAAAAACCAATCTGTGCTGTAGCACAAAGAAGGTGGTTTGATTTCTTCAGAGGGAAGCGTGTTAAATGAAAGAAAGAACGACCTCTTTAATGAGAATCATTAAAAAGAATTTTAAAAACTATCCAGGACTATAACTCATATCCTCTCTCACCAAAATTTAAGACATCTCTTTGTCTCTGTGACCTCCACCTGAGATGGAAAAGGCTCCTAAAAGTTATATTCTAATTCTTCAATAATCTCCTCTTTCCACCACACATGAAACCCACAAATTCTCCACACTCCTTCCCCCAGACCCAGAGAGTAATTTCAAAACGTTTTGGAAAAATAAACAATTAGGCAAGCATTATCATTTCATATTAAGAGAAGATTATTCTTTTTCTTTAAACATTACATAGTAACTCAAACATGAAATTATTTTCTGAGTTCATATTTTCCCAATTATGGGTTCAAAACCTGTCTTCATTGATAAAAAGAATGGCATTTTACCTCTGGATAAATTAAATATCCAATTTCAAAAACACAACGAGTGACCACATCTTGCAGAGTTATTTTTGCTAGTATAGGTGCAGAGATTTGGGGCTGGCCAAGCAGTGTCACCAAACCAGAGGATGGGGGTTAATATGCAGGGAAGGATCGGAGGTATTCCTTGAGGCTCAGCCCCCGGCCTTCTCTTGTTCAACATTTTTATCAACAGCTTGGATAAAGATGTAAAAATCATGCTTGTCAAATCTACAGTTGACACGATGTTGGGAGGCACAGCTTATGTTCTGGGTAGTAGAGTCGGGTTTTTACTTGAGCCAAATTTGTGATCTAGCCTCCAAAAATGCTAACATAAATCGAGGTTACTATAGGATAAGTGCAATGTCCAGATCAAGGGAAGTAATTATTCCACTGGAGAGCATGCTGAACTGACCACATTTGGCCACCACATTTTAAGGGGGAAATTGACAAATAGCAGGGAATGAAAGCAATGAAGGCATCCAAAATGCATCACAGGAAGAACCGTAGAAGAATCAGGGAATATTTAGTCTGAAGAAGAAAAGACTTAGAGGGTCATGCTAACTGCATTCAAATGTTTGTGGGATTAGACATAGTCTATGCTACTCCAGAGGGCATAATTTCAAAAAAATGGGATCATGATGATAAAAGCTGATGATGACTATAATTGAGCTCTTATTTTGAAGCAACCACTATGGTAGATGCTTTATAAACTCAGCTCTAATCCTTGCAATGACACTACAGGGTCAGCATATTTATCCTCAATTTAAGATGATAAAGAGAGTAAAATTCCTCACCATCACTAAAAATATACCATTCACCTCTAGCCACTCTCACTCCTTCTGGACTGATCCTTTAAAAATACAAATCTAATCTTTTGTCCAAAGACAAAACAAGCTATCTTATAAAGCACTGAGCTTTCTGGCATCGGAGTTAAGCCAGTAGAGACTAGTGGCCATCTGTCAAGGATGTCACCAAGAGGATTTTTGCATCAAGGAGGGAAATGGTGCTACATGACCTCCAAGGTTTCTTCTATTGCTAAGATTCTCTCACTTACATGATCCATGGTTCATGCTTTGGCTCAGTGCTTCCAAACAATTAGTAATGTGTGATAATGTTGGAAATACA